GGCGTGTCCCGGGGGGGCCAGTAAGCCCCAGGTGACCTGGCTGACAGCCCTGCACAGACCCCCAGACACACTCATTCCTAGGCGGCAGCAGCCCAGAGGTCTTCCAGGACAAATCAGAGACCCTCCTCCCCTCCACCCCCCCCCCCCCCACATCCTTCCAGATGTCTCTAGGCAGCGATTCACTCCCCCAGGGGCCTCCTGACGCTCAGTGTAGACACCCCACACAGACCCTGCCGAGCCCTCCCATCCCAGGTCAGGCCCCCAAAGGCGGCAGCCCGGGGGACGGACAGGAACACTCCCCACCCTGGAACCCACCCCGCCCGCCTCCCTGCTCCACAGCCTTGGGTAGAGGTTCGAGCCCCTGGTCGCCGGGCCGGGCCGGGCCTCACCAGGTAGTTCTCGTCCTGGAAGGCGAAGTGCAGCTGCGTGATCCAGCGCCGGTCCCCGTTCACCAGCACGTCCCTCTCCTCGCGGAAGCACGACACCTGCGGGCAGCGGGGGCTGAAGCGGGTGGGCTGAGCGGGGGACCCCGGGGCCCCGCGCAGCCCGCACGGCCTCACCTCGCCTCTCTTCAGCATGTCCCACTTGTTCATGATCTTCATGGCGTACACCTGGCCCGTCTGCTTCATCTTCACCACCGCCACCTGGGGGCCGGAGCGGGCTGGCTGGGGGCGGCGGTGGGGAACCCCCCAAAGCCCAGACAGGACTCCCCCGAAACCCCGCCCGCGCCACGCCATCGCCCGTGAGCTCCGCCCCCGCCGGTTTTAGGCTCGGAACTCATTCATCAATTCCTCAGGTCGGGCCCCCAGCCCCGGGGCCGCCCCCGGCGGGGAAGGTCCGGGCTCCGCGGCGGCGGGCCTCACCTCGCTGAACGCCCCGCGTCCGATCACCTTCAGGATCTCGAAGTCCTCCCGCTGCAGCCGGGCCTCCTTAAGCCTCGCCGCGATGGGCTCCACTGGGGGCGGGGCGGTGAGAACCGGGGGTCACCGGGACTGACAGTGGAGACGAGGAGGAAGTCCCCACGCTGTTCCTCAGCCTCCCCTCTCTGAGCCTCACTCTCCGCCTCCCCTTCTCTCGGCCCTTTTCCCTTCCTGACTGTTCGCCTCCCAAAGCTTCCCACGTGAACACGGTGAGGTTTGGGGGATGCACACTGCCCTCCTGCGGAAGTGGGGTGCCTGGGAACCCCTTTTTGGGACAAGGCGTGGGGCCAGAGGGCTCTTGTGGAGCAGGGGTGGGGTACGGGGGACACAAGTCTGCAGAAAGGAGCCCCAGAGCAGAGGGAGGACGGGCCCAGTTCTAGCTCCCTGGGCTTCAGGCCCCCACCCCCAATTGGGGTGATGGGAAAAGGGTCAGGACGTGCAGCTTTACCCGGCCCCCCCAGGCACAGAGGCGGGTGGCTCTTGGACCCCACTGAGGGAAACACTGATTTTGGGGGCGGGGCTGGGAGAAGGAACTGAAGAGGGGACAGGGCCATAGTGGGCCCGCATCCACGGCTCCAGGCCCAGGTCAGACGTGTTCAGTCCTTGCAACCCAGGAGCAGCGCTCTGGACTCCCTTACTGACAGGTGTGTTGGGGGGGTGGGGGGACACTCAAGGCTCAGACAGGTGGATTCATTTGCCCAAGGTCCTAGAGCTAGGAGTGCTAACCCGGGCAGTTTGGGGAGGGGGGAGGGAGGGAGAGGCAGAAGATGCAGGGCTTGGGAGAGGGAGGTCTAGACCCCCAGAGGTGGAAGCCACTGGAGCCCTCGGGGTAGGGTGGAGCAGGGATGGGGGTGAGCAGGAGATACAGTGGTGATGGAGGGGAGCTAGGAGTCTGGATGGGGTTCGGGGAGAGTGGGCCAGCAGGGCAGCAGCAGCGAGGGCCCAGGATTGGGGCGGGAGGAGAGAGCCAAGACATTGAGCCCTTTTAAGGCAGTGGGAACCCAGGCCCCCTCCCCCGCCCCAGCCCGCAGGGGAGGGCCCAGGATGCTGCTCGGGCCACAAAAGGAGCGCTCCTCCCGGGAGAGCCAGACCCCTGCCCCCACCACAGGCCTCAGTTTACCCTGCGGGTCAAACGTCATCCTCTGCAGAAAAAGTCTAAGAGCTGCCAGGGGCTGGGGGCAAGCGGGGTGTTAGGTCCTTCCAGAGGCTGAGTGGCCCTGATCTCCACCTTCCCATCTGCAAACTGGGAGGCAGGAGGGGAGCAGGGCCTGGGTTCTGAAGAGACGGACACAGGAAAGAAGGGGCAGGAGAAGGCAGAAAGGGGAAACTGAGGGACAGACAGAGCCTAAGGACCAAGAGCAAGGGAGGGACAGCCGAGTGGTGGTGGGACAGAGCGGCAGACGGTCAGAGACAGAAGCCCCAGTGCGCCCGAGCCCTGGGCCAGGAGAGGGTGGGGACGGACGAGGCAGGAGGCGGGGGTTCACACATCTTCCCTCTGGAGGCCGGGACCTATTTCTGGGGAAGACTTGGCAGGAAGGGGCTTTGTGGGAGCCGCGGAGGACCGAGGTCACGAAGGAGAAGTAGCAGGTCTGTGAGCTGGGGTCAAGGCTGCAGACATAAAGGGACCGAAATGGATGGGGTTCCCCCTCCGGGGGGCAGACAGGGGCCTGGATGGCTCCCGTCTCAGAGCTGGCTGTCCCCTGGGGCCTGCCTGAGTCACTGGGCCTGTCAGGGCCTGGGCACCTGTTGGGGCAGCTGGAGAGGCTGGGCCTAACACCTGCCCGCGGACCGCGCCCCTGGCAGCTGCCCCGTCCGCGTCTGTGCTGGCCGCTGTGCTTGGGAGCCGGGGGGAGGCCATAGGGCCCATTTTGGGGGGTGTGGGCACCTCAGAGACAGGACTCCCTGCATGTCGCTAGGCCTGGACGTGGGGAGAGGCGCAGGGGGCCATGGGAGGCTCTTCCCAGCCCAGCCTACCATGGCTCCTAAGTCGTGGCTCTGAGTCCTGGCTGCCCTAGTCTCTGCTGACCCCGCTCTGCCCGGCAAGAGTGGCATGGGGGTAGGGGCATGTCGCCCCAAGACCCAAGCCCATGCTCTGGGCCCCTGAATAGGGAGCTCTCCCCATGGCTGCCCTGCCCTCCAAGAGCCACCGGTGCCCAACCCCATCCCCTGCCTCTGCCCTGCCCCACCTCCAACGGGGCAGGGGGTGCGGGCGGGCGGGCACTCACCCCACTGCAGGAAGTCCGCCACATACTTCTCCTGGGCTAGTTCGGAGGCCCCCAGCTCCTGGTGGACGCCCAGGAGAAGGTCGAGCAGGGGCTCCAGCCCCAGGAAGCCGGGGTCCAGCACCAGCTGCTGGAGCCGCCTCAGCCGCACCTCGGCTGACATGTCGGGCAGGCAGCACCATGGCCCCCTCCCCGGGCCAGGGCCTGGGGTCCTCTCGTCACGGGGCCTGGCAGCCCCTGGTCAGGTCCCAGGGCCCTGGCTGCATGTCCGCCTGTCCCCGGCTGTCCCCTGGGCCTCTGGCCACTTCTCTCTGCAGGAGGCAGAGGCCTCCGCCCCTTCTCCCCTCCCCTTGGCCGGCCCCTCCCGCCTACCAGCCTTAACCCCTCACAAGCCAGCCCCTTCCCCCCCCACTCCAGTGTGAGACTGGGGGGCAGAGAATCCCAACCATTCAACAACCCTCCTCCCCCCAATAAAAGGCGGGGTACAGGCGAAGCCAAGACAACAGGTGGGACAGGCCGGAGATGAGCCCTCCCACTCCTCCGAGTCCTGGGGCCGGGGGAGGAGAAAGGGGTGAGGCCTCGGAAGGGGGGCAGGAGGCCAGGGCAGCTTTGTGGGTGACTCAGCTGGGATTCAGACTTTGGGACGGTTTAAATTTAGCCCACAGGCCTTCTGCCTTACACTTTTTTTTTTTTTTGGCAGGAGGTGGGGAAGGGGTGGTGAGGGAATTGGGAAGGGAGGCCCTCAGGAGCCAAGACCAGGGGTGACACCGGCCCAAGCTGGGGGAGGCGGAGGAGCCCCCAAAATAGCTCCTTGGGCCCGGCATGCGGCCACATTCCTGCCCGGCCAGGATTAGTAACAAACATTGGGGGCGGCGGGCGGGCGGGCGGAGAGCCGCCAGGAGGGATTTCGGTGTCCTTTCCGGGCGGCGCACCCGCACCCTCCGGAGGAGGCTGGTCCGGGCAGCGGAGGCCAAGCCCCGAGCCCAAGGGCGCTCCCTCCGGCCTGCGGGGCTGCCTGGGAGCCCCCGTTTGGGAAGACCCTGTAACATGGAGTAGAGTTTGGGCATTTTCGAGCAAGGCTGCAGACTCCCGCTGAGGACTGAAGAGGGGGCCTGGGGGTTCTCTTCCCTCCAGGGTTAGGGGTACCCTCCTCAGCCAATGTGCCCTGAGCACATCCCTTCTCCCACCCGGTGTTTCCCAGAAAAAGGGGGCGAGAGGCAGCAGGCCTGGCTGCCCCCCCCCCCCATTAAAATGGACTGACAGGCGCATGCTCCCCCAGTGACACCCACTCTGACCTCCTTTCCAAGCCTGCTGCCCCAGGCTCCGAGGCCCTTCTCTGGCCTTGGTAACGTTTCCTGCGCCAGGCAGCCAGCTGGCTCAGTTCCACCTTTCTTTTTTTAATATATTTTATTGGTTTTTTACAGAGAGGAAGAGAGCTAGAAACATCGATGAGAAACATCAATCAGCTGCCTCTTGCACCTCCCACTAGGGATGTGCCCACAACCAAAGTACATGCCCTTGACCAGAATCGAACCCAGGACCTTTCAGTCCGCAGGCTGACGCTCTATCCACTGAGCCAAACCAGTTTCGGCTCTTCTCTTTGTTACTTTTCTAATCTTCCCCGGAGGACAAGCTGAGAGGGAGGAAGACACTGATGGGCTGCCATGGGCCCCATCTCCCTGCCCGAGCTGACGGGTCAGACCAGCAGCTCAGTGCACTGGGGGTGCCCACCAGCCCAGCCACCCGGCCAGGGCTCTGTACCTTTCTCAATATACTTTATCTTTAAAAAAGACTGCTGTACACACAGTGAAAGCACACACACACCCGCTACACCTCCAAGGAAGGGGCCAGAGACGCCGTGAAAACAGGGAACTTTAGTATAAATAAGAGGCGCCGGGGACAGGAAGGGCCCCAAAGGGCTTCCATAACTTAACACTTTTCAAAAGCACGAACACCAGCGGGGGTGGGGTTCGGGTCGCCCGCGGACTGAGGGGCACACTGCGGAGCTGGGGTCTGGCGGGCGTGAGCCCACCCTCACCCCCGCCCATGACCAGTCACATGCTGGGGACAGGCAGGAGGCTAACACTGACGTTCCAGCGGAAGGGGTCGGTCGGTGTACTTGGCAGTGGGTGGGGACAAGGCTGAGGTCACATGAGCCACTACGTCCCCCCAGGGTCTAGGCCAGTCTGGGGGGACTCTCTGCCCCCCAAATTTGTGCAGGGTGGGGGGCCGGAGCAGCCCATCCATCATCGTTAGTCTTGTTAATAGGTTGGTCCGTGAGGCCGGCGGAGGGTGATGGCGGGAGGCGAGGCGGGGCAGGGAACCGCGTCCGTCCCGGGCTCACACGGTCCAGGTTCACACGGTCCCGGCTCACACCGTCCCAGGCTCACACCGTCCCGGCTCACACCACGGTGCCGCTGGGGGAGCTGCCTGGCTGGGAGGAGATGCCCTGGGGAGAGGAGGGAGACAGCGGGGTCAGAGAGCATCCGAGTCCCACCACCCAGGCTTCCCTTCAGTCCACCGACACCCCCACCCCAGGAGGCTGCTCTGGCTTCTGGAACTTCATCTCCACTAGCTTCCCCGGCCCAACAGGCGGCACTTTCAGGCAATGATTCAAGTCCTCGGTGATGTAATCCTGAGCAGAGGAAGGGGCACGGGTGGAGGTGGGGAGGAGGGGAAGGCTGGGGTCCCTTTCTGAGGGGGACCTGAGGGTCCGGGGGGGACTCGGGGACAGGCCTACCTCTACCACTGACTCGCTGGGTGACCTGGGCCAGCTTCCTTCCCCTGCCTGGGCCTCGGTCTCGTCAGTGAACTAGGGAGACAGACGGGTCTCCTTCAGGACTCAGACTCCCCAAGCCCCACCCTCACCTGTGAGGCTGAGACTGTGCTCTAGGCTCTAGGGACACAAGTTCCCTCCCCAGGAGCCACGCCACGGCCCTCAGATGTGACCGCTGGGCGCCAAGCCAGACCCGAGGAGCCGAGACACCGGAGTCCCCGGCTCCCCGGCTCCAGGTGCCGGCCTGTGCTCCACCCGAGCCCCTCGGACCCCGGGAGGCGCACCCACCGCCTCCTGCCGCCTCCACGCCTCCCTGTCCTATGTGCGGGGCAGGTCGTGGCTGCAGTCACACAGGAGAGGAGCAGGACTGGGCCTGAGCCTGGTATTGTCTGCCTCCAGCACCGGCTCCTGCCCCAACAGCCCAGAGCCAGGCTGGGGGCGGGCCCAGGGCTCAGTCTTGCCCACAGAAGGTGACCCCCAGTATCCAACATCTCATCACTTAAAAGTCACGTTTCCATAGCAACACCGACCTGGCTGTGCTGGGCCGTGGCTGCCTGCTGGTACCTGGCCATGGTCCCTACCACTCCCCTCTTCTACCTGACCGTGTGGTTCTAGAACTATGGTAAGATGTGGCAGGGCTTGCTGAGGCACTAAGATGGCCATGGTGGCCCCTCACCCTACGGGCTAGAGGCCGTGATGGTGACAGACTGCTCTCCCAAACCCGCCTCTTCCCGAGCCCCCGTCCCGGCGGCCGCTGCGGCCACTCACCGCCTTGCCCGGCCGCGCCCAGGTGCAGATGAGGCCCTCCTGGCAGGCGGTGATGATGCAGTCCTCCAGGAACAGGAGCACCGTCAGCCGCTCCTGGGCGATCTTCTTGCACACCAGCGGCTCGAGCAGGGGCACCTCGTGGATGCGCGGGCACAAGGCCGTCCCCAGCACCTTGGCGGGGTCCAGGCGGCTGTGGGGGACAGGGCCGCTGGGCTTGTCCCCGCCGCCGCCCCCGCCGCCCCCCCGGCTGATGTTGCCCAGGCTGTGGTAGCGCTTGTGCTCCTTCTCCGCCGCCCGGTCCCGCCGCTCCTGCAGCGTGAGCGTGGCAAAGCGGCCGATGCTGAACGGGGCGCCCGGCTCCGTGCCCGCGCCCGGGCCCGCCTTGCCGCTGCCCGCCGGGTGCGGGAGGCTGTTGGAGCGGGACAGCGAGCGGGGCAGGGACCCGGGGCCCGGCTCGCCACCCCGGGAGCCGCCGGCAGCGGGCGGGGTGGTGCTGGGCGTGCCGGGGAGCGTGCGGGTGCGGGCCAGGGGCGGGTGTGGGTACAGCACGTCCTCGGTGAGGTCCCACAGGCAGAACTGCGTGTCCTGGCCGGCCGAGCCGAAGCGGTACGTGATGGAGCCGGCCTTGGGCATCGGGGAGAGCGGGTCGCCCCCATTCGAGCCTGGGCCGGCCACCTCGGGCTCCTCCTCCTCCTCCACACCGCGCTCCGCGTCCCCGCCGGCCGCCGCCTCCTCGGCCCTCGTGGTGTAGGGGTCGAAGGCCACGGCGTTGACCCAGGACTTGTGGCCGTGGCCGCGGGCCACCACGCGGCCCTCGGCGAAGGACCACACGGTGACCAGGTCGTCCTCCCCGCCCGTCACCACGTAGCGCCCGTCGGGGCTCCAGCACACGCAGAGCAGGCCCCCGAAGTAGCTCTTCATGAGCCCCCGCAGGAGCATGGAGTCAAAGTGGAAGACGCGCAGGCAGCCGTCCTGGCTGACGCAGGCCAGGTGCCGGCCGTCGGGCGAGAAGGCGAACTCGTTGAGGGGCCCCTCGCCCACTGCCCACTTGGCCAGCGGGTTGCGGGGCGCCTTGCTCTTGGCGGCGTAGACGGCGAAGCCCTCCCCCTGCTTCAGCAGGCTGTACTGCGGCGGGGCCGACGCGCACGGGTGGCTGACGTTGTACAGGTACAGGTGGCCGCTGGCGTGCGATGCCAGAAACAGGCTCTCCGACTCCGGCAGCCACTTCAGGTATGTCACCTTGGTCTTGTCGATCAGCCGCTGCCAGGAGAGAGGATGGGGTTGGGGGAAGGCAATCAGACGCGGACAGACCTCCTTCCCAGCCTGCATCCCCAGCAGGCCCTCCCCTCGGCCCAGGCCCTGGGAGAGGAGCCCCCTCTAGGGACAGGGCGGTCATGGACACGGAAGGGCGGCTTTGATGCAGCCAGAGCTCCGCGGAGCCTCGATGTCCTTTAGGTAAGGGGACAGTCCTGCCTTCAGGGAGCTGTCTTCTGTCTCATGCCCCCACCTTTCCATGCCGGACTCAAGGCCATAAACTGGCCCACAGGCTGTCAGCTCCCCTAAGGAGCCGTTCGCTCACTGTTCCGGCCCCAGCACAGGAGCAGCCTGACAAGTGATTCCTGGACACGTGAATGTCAACCCCATCCCGCCTGCAGCTCATCTTTGCTCCTGTTATCCACATAACTCACATATAACTCTCCATATAACTCTTCAACAACATGCAGAACCTGACCTCTGCACACCCTGAACCCCAAACACTATGGTCCCAGCCACCACCAACCCCGTGTGGCCTCCCTGGTCTCTAGGCCACCACTGCCGGCGTCCGTCCTCTGCACCGAGGCCAGGCAGCTGCCGTTAGAGTGAGTCAGCGCCTGCGCCCCCCCTGAGCCCCGGGCAGCCTTTCTCAGCCAGGGCTCCAGAGAGCTCAGCCCTGACGCCTTAGGCACCGGCCGAATGAAAGGAATTAACTTCTTTTCTCAGAGCTAAGTTGCTTCTCGTTCTTGGGAGAATTGAGCGAATCATCAGATCAAAACTTTTGTTCCCGGCTCAGCTGAACCCCCGGGAAAGGCTCTAAAGCTGCCTTTCCAGCCTCCAGCCCCTGCCCAGCCGGGGCCCTGACTGACTTCCGGGGCTCACCCACTTCCTCCGCCTCAGCGGCTGCTCGGACCCCGCCGCCCCCTCTACTCAGAAAGTCCTTCCCGGTCACTCTTCTTGCCTCGTCAGGTCTTCATTTCAATGTCACCCTCCAGTGAGGCCCTTCCGGACCCCACTGCCTCCCCCGACCCGCCACGCCCCTTCCCTGGCTTTTCCCTCCGCACTCGGCACCTGGCGCCCGCAGGCTCCCCTGGGGGTCACTGCCTGCCTAGCGAGGCGGGCCCTCCGGGTCCCGGAGATGAGACCCCCGGTGCCGAGAACCAGCCTGGCCCTGAACAAAAGCCCAGGAAGTGTCCTGTGAGCAGGTGAGCTAGCGCACTTTATTCCATCCGCTGCTGCCCTCTCCCTCCCACCATTCACGCGATTCTGTGTGGGTGGAACACGCTTCCGAACAGACACAGGGCCCGAGTCCCCACAGATAAGGCTGCCAGCTGGCATTTCCTCTTGTGCCACGTCTGCCCAGGACGAAGCCATCTCCGGGCATGGTTTTACACAGTCCTGCGGGACGGGGGGAAACCCTGTTTGCAGAGCAGAACCGAGGTGCGGGAGGCACTGGCACCTTCCCAAAGCCGCACGGCGAGGAAATGTGGGACCGCCAGCATTTGAATCCTATGCCCAGAAGGTGAGGACCCACGGCTCTGACTTCAAACCGGTCCAAATCAGTTCTCTCATCTGCAAAATAGCCTCTCAATACCTAACCCTTTGGCTGATGAAAACGCCAGCATGTGGCTAACAAAGCACAGGGCCTGGGCGCAGTGGGCACTGGTGTCACTGCTGGCTGGCACACCGGCTGCTGTCTGTCACCCATCCCACACAGCTGTCAGCCCGCCCCCTTTTCCGCCCTCATCCTGTCCCAGGAGCCGAGGTGTAACGGCAAACAGTACGGGTGCAGTTGGGTGGGCGAGGAGGGAAGGGCCACGTGGGGTCCACAGTCACCTCTTCGTTGAACAGCTTGCTGGTGTCCTTCTTGATGAGGTCCAGGTACTGCACCTGGCCGGCGGAGAAGCCCACCAGCAGGGAGATGGTCTCGGTGGCAGCGGTGAACTGGTTGAAGTCGTGGCAGGTGGGCTGGGTGCCCTTATAGATCCGCTTGTCGATAGGCTTGTTGAGGTCGATGGACTTAAGCGACGGGAGAAAAGGAGTTAATGGCTTCCGCCACCGAGGAAGGAAGCGAGTGTTGAGGTTGGGGGAAACCACGAAGAGGAAGCAAGGTTAACCCCCGAGGGAAGTGGGTAGGTAGATGGGTGAGTGAGGAGGGAGGGAGCAACCACAGACAGGAAGAGGGACCCAAATTTCACACAGAACAGAGAAAAACAGACAGGAAGGGCCCCCCCCACCCCCACCCAGGGCATAAGACCACAGTGCCTCTCCCTCCAACATCAGGGACACCCTGACTCTCAGCATCAGGGTTCGGGGGCCCCATAGTCCCTGAGCTCTGATTCCTTTCCAGTCTTACCTCATAACCTCAGCCATCTCCTCCGGGTCTTAGCAACACAATATTCCAACCCTGGCTCCTCCCCCCATCCCCACCCCCAAACTCAGGGTCACCCAAATCCTCAGGCCTCTAGAGCTCATCTCAGGAGTGCCTTCCCTTTGGAGTCCCTAAATCAGTTCAGGGACCATTAGACCTCAGGGTGCCTTCACACCCTCTGGACTCGCAGGATCCCCATCCTCATCCCTCTGGCACCACGGTCACCGCAGAGGCACCCACACACCTGAGGGTGCCCCCTCTGGGCTCTCATCACCTCCCCATCTCCCATCAGCTCAGAGACCCTCATTTCCTCCGGGAACCCTCATTAACTCCGGAACCGGAATTTTCTCCGGGATCCCTGTAACCTCTAAGCCCCCATCACTTCCAGAGTCCTGACCTCCGGCTGCCCAGGTCTGGGGCCCCCCTCCTAACGCCGCCACAGACTGCAATCCCCCTGGGTTCTGCATCACCTCAGGATCCCCGTCACCCGCAGAATGCCTGCCACCAGAACCCCGAGGATCGACATCATCTCGGATTCTGCATCACCTCCAAAATACTCACCGTCCCAGAACCTCCGCCACCCCCTCCCCCCATAACGGGGGATCCCACATGACCCCAAGGCTTCCCATCACCTCCAGGATGCCCGGCACCGGGAGGCCTCCATCACCTTTCAGGATGATGCATCACCCCCCGCCCCGCCCCCACCGAACCCTTCCCCCCAGGGATGGCCATCACATCTGGATGCCTATCTCGGGGCCCCCTACCCCTTCTGGGGTCACCAAGGGACCCCAGCTTCTCAGCCCCCAGGCCACTCACCCGTTGGCTCCCGCGGCGGCAGCAGCCCGGGTAGAAATAGAGCTCGCGGCCCAGGTTGAAGCAGACGCGGTCTCCTCCGGCCCCCAGGCCCGCGGGCGTGGCGGGCGGCTCCCCGGGCCCGGCGTGGTCCGGCTCTCCGAGGCGCACCAGGCTGAGGCGCACGGCGGGCAGCGCGGGCCCGGGCCCGGAGCCTGCGGGCGGCGGGGACGACGCGGGGCCCGCGGCGCCGGGGCCGGAGGCAGGGCCCGGCGGGGGCTGCGGCGGCTGGGGCGGCGCCGGGGTCTGGGCGGAGGCCGGACCCGGCCTGCGGGCGGCGCCGTCTCCGGGCAGCAGCTTGTAGAAGCCCTCGCGGGTGCGGAACTGCGACTTGATCTCCGCGCAGTCCCCCATGGAGGCGCCCGGGCCCGAGCCGCCCTCCGCGCCGCCCGCCGCCATCTTGGGCGCCCCCCGGGCCCCGCCGCTGCGCGACCGCCGCCCGCCGCCGGGCCCCCCGCCGGAAGCCGCGGGCCCGCGCCGGAAGAGGTGGGGTCGTCGCCCGGGCGACGCCTCCTTGATTGGCAACGGGGGGAACGAGCCCGGCCGTCGCTCTGGTAACGGTTCTCGGTCTCTGGGCGGGGCCTCGGTGCCGGAGACGGCCCTGTGGTTGGCTGCGGGGGCGGGGCCGCCGGGAAGGGGCGTGGCGCTTAACAAGAACTTGTCCCTAGCAACGGCGCCCTGGGAACCGTTTGCCTAGCAACGGAGGACCGCTCCGGAGAAGGCCTGTTTCCTCCCCTGGCCTCCCTGTGACCTCACAGATGACCCCAGAGACCCTCAACATCCACCCTCCTGACCCCCAGTGTTCCCACGGACATCTAATCTCCCCACTGGCCGCAGCATCGCCAGCTACTCCTCCGCACCGCGGATGAGCCCCCAAATCTCACTGATCTCAGGTCTCCATAAAACCCCTAGGACTTCATCTGGCCCACTGCTGGTTAACACCAACCCAAACATCTCCACACTTCCCTCCAACCGCCGTGACTCGCTATCGCAATCAGTCTCACTCGGTCCTCCAACACCCACCTTCCATTCCAGTATTTCACTGCGCCAGTAGCCCCCTCACTCACCCTCACAGTGTTCCAATGATCCGCCCATAACCCCGGATCTTCTCCTGGTCCCAGCCGTCCCCACAGTGCCCCTGACTTCTGCTGAAGCCACTCTGCCCATCACAGATAATCCGAGTCCCACTTACTCAGTGGCCTCCCAGACTAGTCACCAAATGTCCCCGGGCGTCTTCCTCACACTCAACAAGCCCTACAATGAGCTAACTTGGCGTCTTACTCCAAATCCTGCTCCCCTCCTGTGACCCATTCTTTTTCTTTTTTTTTAAATGTATTTTATTGATTTATTTTATTTTATTATTAAATTATCTGTGTACATATTTTAACATTGCCCCCCCATACCTACCCTCCCTCCCCAGAGTTTTGTGTCCATTGGTTGTACTTATATGCATGTATACAAGTCCTTTGGTTGATCTCTTATCTCCCCCAGATCTCACTACCCTCCCCACTGTAATTTGACAATCTGCTTGTTGCTTTACTGTCTCTATATCTATCTTTTGGTTCATCCGTTTATAATGTTCTTTATTATCCATAAATGAGTGAGGTCATGTGGTGTTTCTCTTTCATTGACTGGCTCGTTTCACTCAGCATGATGTTCTCCAATTCCATCCAGGTTGCTGCAAATGATGAGAATTCCTTCTTTTTTATGGCAGCATAGTATCCCATTGTGCAGATGTACCATAGTTTTTTGATCCAATCATCTGCTGATGGGCACCTAGGCTGTTTCCAAATCCTAGCTATTGTAGATTGTGCTGCTATGAACATAGGGGTGCATATATCCTTTCTGATTGGTGTTTCTAGTTTCTAATTTTATTAATTTTTTATGGAGAGGAAGGGAGAGAGATAGAGAGCCGAAACATCAATCAGAGAGAGAGAGAGAGAGCGGCCAGCTGCCTCCTGCACACCCCCTACTGAGGATGCACCTGCAACCAAGGCACATGCCCTTGACCAGAATCGAACCTGGGACCTTTCAGTCCACAGGCTGACGCTCTATCCACTGAGCCAAACCGGTTTTGGCCTATGTCCCATTCTTAGGGCCAGCACTATCACCCCCCAGACCTGAGTGTCTGTTCCCCCTCCTGTCCCTAAAAATCCTCTTGTCCAGCCCCTTCCTTTGCACAGCCATGGTCCATCCTGCTCCAGGCCCTGAACCAGCCTTATTCCTGCTCTCCCATGCTCCTGTCTCACTCTCCTGGCCGCCCTCCCCTGGCACCTGCAGAGGCATGTCTGACGCACAAACATGACCAGGCCTCCCTGCTGAAAGCCCCTCTGTGGCTCCCTGGTGCTCTCAGGGCGGGTTAGGCCCTGAGTGATCTGTTCCTGCCAACTGCGTTCCTGTCCCCGCTCTCACCGCTGACCCCTCACGCCGTGTCCCAAAACATGAGGTCAGAGAAGCACGTCACACGCTCTCTCACCCTCGGGCCTCCTCACACGCTGTTCCTCTGCCCGGAATGCTCTTCCCCACTCTGTCCTTCACCCCCCCCCCTTTTTTTTTAAGTTGAGAAGGAGGAAGGGAGAGAGAGAGATCGATGTGTTGTTTCACTTATTCACTCATGGGCTGATCCTTGTAGGTGCCCTGACCAGGGATCAAACCTGCAAACGTAGCAAACTAAGCCAGTGGTCGGCAAACTCGTTAGTCAACAGAGCCAAATATCAACAGGACAACGACTGAAACTTCTTCTGAGAGCAGAAAACCGACTTCTGCGCATGGGCCACGAAGTTGCAATCGCACTGTACGTGCGCACCCGCCCACATGTGGTGTTTTGTGGAAGAGCCACACTCAAGGGGCCAAAGAGCCGCATGTGGTTCGAGAGCCGCAGTTTGCTGACCACTGCCCTAAGCAAACAGAGCTACCAGGCCAGCTGCTCCTGACCCTTGAAGCGTCAGCAGAGGGCTCTGTCAGTCGTCTGGGCAACACCACCTGGGGTGTCATTGCTTGGGGGTGCTCCTGTCTCCCCTGTAGAGTCTGAGCCATGGAAAAGCAGAGGCTGCTTGCTCATCTCTGTGTCCTCTGGGCTGGACTGAGCTGACAGGAGGCTTTTAATTTCATTTTTATTTTTTATTTTTAAAAATCCTCACCCAAGGACATTTCCGTTGATTTTTAGAGAGGGGAAAGGAGAGAGAGAGAAACATGGATGTGAAAGAGAAACATCGGCCAGTTGCCTCCCATATCTGCCCCCTCCGGGGATCGAACCTATAACCCAGAGATGTGCCCTGACCGGAAATAGAACCCTCGGCGACAACGCTCCAGCCAACTGAGCTCACAGGCCGCGGCTCCCGGAGGCGCTTCATGCCCGGGGGAGTGAACAAGGGGAACGGGAGGGACTGCGGAGCTGTGCTCCCAGCAGAGTCAATCGCCTTGACGTGAAGGTCACGGCCACAGGTGGGTGAGCAAAGGAATGAATGAGCGGGCCGGAGCGCCGTGGGAACATTTCATTGAGAGCAGCTGCCTCCCAGAGGCAGGAAGCAAACGAACAGTGAAAAAAAAACCAGCTCCTCGCTACATCCGAGGAACATCGCGCCAGCTACCTGCGGGGCCTCAGTCGTCCGGGTCCTCGTCCTCGTCCTCCTCCTCGTCCTCCTCCTCCTCCTCCGCGGCCGCCAGCGCCTGCTCCTGGGCGGCCTTCAGGGCCTGCTCCTCCTCCACCGTGGGGTCGCTCATCTCCATGATCTCCAGGCCGCTGGGGTACTCCTGCTGGATGGGTGGCGGCAGCATGGGGTTGAAGTTGTCCGGGCTGTACTTGTGGCCCCAGCCGATGTACAGGTTCTCAAACTTCCTGGAGGGGCAGGGAGACACTGGGAAGTCCTCCCTCCGAGGCCCCAGCCTCGGCGGCTGAGGGTGGGCGCAGGACGGAGGAGCTGTGTGTGTGGGGAGAAGGGTGCCCGCTGTGCTGTTCTGTTCCCGTGTTCCTTACACCCCATGCAAACGTCAAGCCCCAGATGGCGTCCAACGGCGGCAGCTGAGCCCATGAGACTCGGCTCCCACACCCAAAACCCTGAATGTCTAGATCGATTTACTTTTCTCATTCCACCTGACCCACTGGTGGTTCGGGAATGTGTTCATTTCTACACGTGTGTGAGTTTCCTTCTGTTACTGATTTCTGATGTCATTCCCGTGTTGCCAGAAAACTTATTTCCTCTGATCAACTTTTTTTTTTTTTAATTTTTAAAAATACATTTTATTGATTTTTTTACAGAGAGGAAGAGAGAGGGATAGAGTTAGAAACATCGATGAGAGAGAATCATCTATCAGCTGCCTCCTGCACACCTCCTACTGGGGATGTGCCCGCAACCAAGGTATAATACATGCCCTTGACCGGAATCAAACCTGGGACCTTTCAGTCCGCAGGCTGATGCTCTATCCACTGAGCCAAACCTGTTTCTGCTGATCAACCCTTTTAAACCCACTGAGACTGTCTTACGGCCTAGCATATGGTCTGTCCCGGGGAGTGTTCCCTGGGCACTTGAGAAGGATCTGTATTCTGCTGTGGTTGGGTGGAGTGGATTTTTTGTTTTGTTTTAATTCATTTAAATTTTAGCAATAAAGCTAGTACTCAACTTAGTATTGGAAACATCTAAGTCTGACCGGGACAACTTGGGTGCGTGAGTCCACTTTTGCAATGGGAAAGGTTGTGAGATGTGGACATAGGCCAAGTGTTCCCAGGTAAAATGGATAGGTCCAAACTGAGGTGTGCTTGTAAGCATGAATGCAGCTCAGATTCCAAAGACTTAGTATAAAGAGAAGAATGTAAAATAGCTTATCAATCATTATTACATTATTGATTTCATGTTGTAATGTTTTGGGTATTTGGGGTTAAATAAAATATATTAAAATGAATGTTGCCTGTTTAGTTTTAACTTTTAAAAATATATATTTTTTTATTGATTTCAGAGTGAGAGAGAGAAAGAGAGAGAGAGAGAGGGATTGAAACATCAATGATGAGAGAGAAGCATTTATTGGCTGCCCACAACCTGGGCAGGTGCCCTTGACCGGAATCGAACAAGGGACTCTTCAGTCCACAGGCCGATGCTCTATCCACTGAGCCAAACCGGCTAGGGCTATTTTTACCTTTTGAATAAGGCTACTGGGAAATTTAAAATGCCATAGGTGACTCCTGATTCATTTACGATGGACAGCACTGGTCCAGATGTGGGGCCTAGCTAGCAGTGACAAACTGACAAGAATCCCTGTGTGGTGCCTGCGCTGTGAAGGGAGGGGAGAATACTCGGGACAGGATCGGTCGGGTCCCGGCCACCTCGCCTCTCCCCAGTTTTAACTGGGGAAGAAAAGAGGAGAAAATAGGAGACTAAGCTGAGAGGCAGGGCGGAAGCAGGGAGAGAAAGAGAGACAGCAGGAGAGACGGGATGGGGAGGTTGTCATGGAGCAGTTTGACTTTGACCTTGCTGATCCGGAGGCTGATCGGAGGCTGAGCTTGCTAGGAAGGCAGAGTCCCGGCCTCCAGCCCTGACCCATGCATCCACAGCCTGAGCTTCCACCAGATCCCCCAGCGAGCCCAGCCCTAGCACTCAGGAGACACTCTGGTCTAGAATGTCCTTCCGCCTACTCCCCTCCCCCCATTGCTTCTTTCTTCCCCCAAAGATTTCGGATCAAGGCTGGTCTGAACCCTTGCTTGATCCCTCCATTCTCCTCAGGGGCACTCCTCTTAGTTTGTGACAGGGTTTGGGGGAGGGTTTGCTGGAGGAGTGGGGGGAGGGGGAGGGCGGGTGAGAGATGTTATGCAATTAACGCTCTGCTCCCAGGGCTGGATCCACATCTGCCCTTCCAACAAAGGGCCTGGGGCCCAGCACACAGCTGGCCAGCACTGGTATTCAAGTCTTTTAGAGTGGAAAAAAAAAAAAAAGATTGATGGATGGATGGATGGATGGATGGATGCATGGGTGCCTAGATGGATGAATGATTGGGTGGTGGGTGGGAGGGTGGATGGACGAGTGGTTAGGGGATATAGGGTGGATGGGTGACTGGTGCTCCCGATTTGGGTCTTTTGTTTTCAGAGGGATATGGACAAATTAGGATGTGGCCAGAAGCGTGCCGGCAAGAGCAAGCGTGCCTCTTCCCTGCTTCGGGAGGAGAAAAAGTAATCATCGCCAAGCATGTGGCTAAAGTATCAAGATGACCTGAATTCCCGCCTCGACTGGGTATCATGGTAGCGAATAGAAAAGGAAAAAAAAAAAAAATCTATGAAAAACCGCCCTGCCACCTGGTGGACAGACCGGGTAAGTACGCTCGCCCCGTGGCGGCAGGTGGCGCCCTCTCGTGGTTGATCAGAAAGGCTGGGCTAAGCCTGGTAAGAGGGGCGGAGAGGCTGGTGGGTGGGAGTGTGTAGCTGCAGGTGGGACGATGCAAAAGTGATTGCGGCCTGAAAATCTTTGAGAGCAACTGGTGGGGAAGACATCTGGCCCTTAGAAAGAAGACCTTCAAATGGGAAGAACTGGCAACGGGGCGCAGGACTCTGCTGTTGTCAGGGCCACCCCAAAGGGGACTCCTGAGTCCCGTCAGCTGTGACACATACAGCGGGGAGGCCCGGGCCAGGGGACCAGAGATCCCAGTTTGAATCCTGCACGTGCCCTGTTCCCTGGGGCCAGCCCCTTCCCCTCCCTGGTCCCCATTCTCTTTTCCGAGGGGCTTCCCTCTTGGTGTGGGGTTTCTCCTTCAGGCCAGTGGGATCCCTGGAAGCAGAGTGAGGGGCTCAGCCTTGGGGGCTTCCCTCCCAACCTCTGCCCACCCTCGCGAGTCGCCCAGCCGGCCTGCTGGGGCGCCCTCTGCTGGGAGGCCAGGAGAAGACCTACTTGCCCATGGCGAAGGCGTAGGCCCCGGGCCAGAGATTGGAGCGCACGATAGCCACGGAGTACTGCGGGCAGAGGCTGCAGGACAGGCGGGCGGTCCAGGGCGACATGTGCATGATTTCTGTGGGGACGGGAAGAGCACCAGGAGGTCAGAGGCGCCACTGCTGGCTGCCCATGCCCTGCACAGCCCCCAGAGGGAGGGAGGGGTGGAGAGGGGAAAGGAGGAGGGGTGTGGAGGGAACAGCGCGGGCTGCAGCGCTGGAGCCTGCTCAGGGCCACCCCTTCCCCTGCGCCCCAGGGACCCTCTGTGCCTGCACCCCGAAGGGCCCCAGACAGGGCAGCCGCTGCCGTCTCCCTCCGGCTGGCCACTGGTTCGGACCAGAGGGCAGAGGGCAGACAGCAGCGCGTGGGTCACAACATGGGCTCTGCCCACGGCCGCTCTCAGCCTCCCCTTCCTGCTTCCCCAGGGCCCGAGGCCCCGACCTCAGGAGATGACTGACCCTTCTCCCGAAATCCCGTCCAAGCTCCGCCTCCCCAACTCTCTCTCTCTCTCTCTCTCTCTCTCTCTCTCTCTCTCTCTCGCTCTCTGTCTCTCTCTCTCCTTCCCCAAGCCCACATCCCCCCAGGTGGGCACTGCCCTACTGGGCACCGGACGCCGCTCACAAGGTGGACGCTTTCCCGTAACCCCAGGAGGAGGCGCTGTCATGAGGTCCGTTTTATAGGCCAGGGACCAGCTGAGGCTCCGAGAGGTCACCCTGCAATGTTCTAGCCTGTCCGTTCCCGCGCCCCTCCACCCCCGCCACACACACACACACACACACACACACGCACACACGCGCACACACACACACACGCACACTCACACACACGCACACACGCACACACACACTCACACTCACACACGCACATGCATACACACACATTCACACACACGCGCGCACACACACACGCACACACATGCACATGCACACACACGCACGCGCGCACACACACGCAGCACACTCACATGCACTCACACGCACACACACACAGGTGCGCACACACACATACACTCACGCGCACACACACACGCACACTCACACACACTCACACACACACGCACACACACGCACACACACGCACACGCACACACGCGCGCCCACACGCGCCCACACACGCACACTCACACACACGCGCACACTCACACACACACACACACGCACACTCATACACACACACGCACACACACGCGCGTGCACACACACACACACACTCACACACACACTTACACACACACACGCAAACTCACACACGCGCCCACACACGCACACACGCACACGCACACGCACACTCACACACACGCACGCACACATGCACACACACACGCACGCACACACTTCAGGCTGGTGGCACAAGGCGAGGGAGACGGGTACCTGCATCTTCTGAGAGTGGCGTCAGCAAGGGCGGCCCAATCTCCTGCTCCGCCTCCTCCATCCCCTCATCGCCCTTCTCTTCCTCCTCCCCGAGCTCCTCCTCCTCCTCCTTCTTCTGCAAAGGGTTCACCCACGTGCAGCGGCCCTGGAGGTGGAGGAAGTCAGGCGGCAGCCAGAGGACAGGGCAGCCTGCGCTCTGGGCGCGGGTGCGGGGCTGGGCAGGCCCCGGGGACTGTCCTCAGGGGCCCAGGTGTGGGCGGGAGGACAGGGTCAGGCACAGAAGTTGGGGCAGGACATGGGCCGAGGCAGTGGTTGCATGGAGGCAGGGACTCCTGCCTCCTGCGAGCCGTGTGGCCCCCTTCTGTGCGTTCATTCACTCGTTCATCCATTCACTCACTCATCAGGTTCTTAGGAGCACCTACTGTATACAGCCCCGGCTCTAGGTGCTGGGATGCACTCCTGGGGAAAGAGACCCCAAATCTCTGCCCTGTGGAGCTGACCTTCGGCAGCCGTATCGGCCTCTGTTTTCCCATCTGTGAAATGGGAGTGTTACAGGTGCCTCTCCCATTGGATTGTTGTTGGGTTACATGCGGTACTGAGGAGCTGATCCGTGTTTGTTGAAGGAATGAGTGAACCCAAGGGCACAGTACATTGCAGAGTTCAGTTTCATCAACTATGAGAAGGCAACGGGAGCTGTACGGATCTCCAGAGGGGTTATTTGGATTCGTTAAAACCTGTGGGAATCAGCCCTAATCCGTTTGGCTCAGTGGATAAGAGTGTCGGCCTGCAGACTGAAAGGTCCCAGGTTCGATTCCAGTTAAGGGCACTTACCTTGGTTGAGGGCACATCCCCAGTGGGGGGTGTGCAGGAGAGAGCTGATCAATGTTTCTCTCTCATGGATGTTTCTAACTCTCCATCCCTCTCCCTTCCCCTCTGAAAATATATTTTAAAAAAAACAAAAACCTTGTGGAATCAATAAATGTTTATTGAATGAATGAATGAATGAAACCATCTTAAGCCTATAGCTAGTGTTTCCTTGAATGAGTAAACAAGTGGGTATAACACTCAGGCACATGGGCGTTCAATAAATGAAGGCCCATAATCTCTTACCCACAGCTCCCAAACCCGAAAATTAAAGCTCTGAAAATCAGAAGTTTGTCACCAGGCATCTGGCCGCACTCATGACCTGCTGGGGGGAGGCTGTTCAGATTTTTTAAAAAAATATATATTTAATTGATTTTTTTTTACTGAGAAGAAGGGAGAGGGATAGAGAGTTAGGAACATCAATGAGAGAGAAACATTGATCAGCTGCCTCCTGCCCACCGCCCACCGGGGATGTGCCCACAACCAAGATGCATGCCCTTGACTGGAATCGAACCTGGGACCCTTCAGTCCTCAGGCCGACGCTCTATCCACTGAGCCAAACCGGTTTTGACAGGCTGTGCAGTTTTGCTGCAGGAATGATGCTGAGGCCTTTGAGCCTGGGCTGCAGCCCCAGCCTGGCCTGAAGTGCTGCCTGCTCCATGGGGCATGCAGTTACCTTTTTATTTATTTTATTTAAAAAAATATATTTTATTGATCCTTTACAGAGAGCAAAGGGGAGTGTCAGAAACATCAGTGAGAGAGAAACATCAGTCAGCCACCTTCTGCACACCCCCCACCAGGGATGTGCCATTGACCAAGTACATGCCATTGACCAGAATCGAACTTGAGACCTTTCAGTCCACAGGCCAACGCTCTATCCACTGAGCCAAACCGGTTTCAGCTGCAGTTGCCTTTTTAAAATCTGAAAAGTCCAGAACTCCGAGGTGCATGTGGCCCCACAGGGATTCTGGCTTTCCTTTGCCTCACTGACTGAACGAGGAACGAGGAACGGATGGACGGGTGGATGAATGAACGAAGGAAGGAGGGCTGAGCAGAGGGCAGGCGTTTGCTGTGCCTGGGGGAGCCCCCCCTGACCCCCCCCCCAGCTGGGGGGCTCCCGGGTCCCGGGGGGCCTCACCTGCGGGAGGATGTGCTGCATGTGGTGCACCCAGTTGGCCATGGAGTCCACCAGCTCGAACACGGGGAGGCCCTCGAAGTCGGGGTTCTCCTCGAAGGAGTCGCGCCCGGCGCCGCCCTCCTCCTCCTCGTCGCCCTCCTCCTCGTTGAACTGGTAGAAGCCCAGCGGGCTGATGTGCGTGGCGGCCGAGATGCGCGCGATCTGGGCGCGCAGGTAGTTGGCCTCGTTGCCCGGGAAGGGCGGGTAGCTGACCACGGGCGCGTCCAGGAAGCCGGTGAGGAACTTCTTGATCTTGCGCGCCTGCACGATCTGCGCGGGCGTGACGTGCGGCAGGCGCGCCCAGGGCCGGCCCGGCTCGTTGCACACGAAGTACAGGTACTTGTTGGCGCCCGAGCGGCTCTCCTCCCGCGGGATGACGGGCGGCGGCCTCCACTGCAGCTTGGGCAGCACGTCGGCCGCCTTCTCCTCGTCCTCCTCGCCGCCCTCCTCCTCGCCGTGCGCCTCGGTGGTGAGGTCGGCGCCCTCCATGAGCTCCTCCACCTCCTCCTCCTCCACCTCCTCCTCGCCCTCGCGGAACTCCACCTCGGCCACCAGGTAGCTGCGCCGCAGGCCCAGGACCTTGCCCCAGAAGCGGCACGTGTGGATGGGCTGCTGCTCCACCAGCTGCTTCAGCGCCAGGAAGAGGCGGAAGCTCTCGTCCGAGCTCAGGCCCACGCCGCCCTGCTCGAAGTAGAAGGCCGACTCCATGATGTTGGGCACGGCCGTGTCCGCCTGCGGAGGGGAGAGGGGAGGGGAGAGGGGCGGGGGCGGAGGGCAGGGAGCTGAAGGCCTGCTCCTCCCTGGCCTGGCTTTTCTGGGGTGGCAGAGAGCGGGCCTGCGGGGTGACCCAGCTGCTCCTGCCGCCCCCCCCCCCCCGGCGTTTATTTGTTTATTTATTTAAAATATATATTTTATTGAGTTTTTTTTACAGAGAGGAAGGGAGAGAGATAGAAACATCGATGAGAGAGAGTCATGCATCAGCTGCCTCTTGCACACCCGCTACTGGGGATGTGCCTTGGTACATGCCCCTGACCGGAATCGAACCCAGGACCCTTCAGTCTGCAGGCCGATGTTCTATCCACTGAGCCAAAGCGGTTTCGGCACCCCCTGGCGAGTCCTCGGGGAGGATGTGCCTTGATGGAAAAGGCAACATCACACGAAGAAAAAAAAAATCCCTGGTTTCTTCATCCCTCCCCTTGTTCCCGCCTGGAGTGGGATGTGAGAGCCAGCGCTGCAGCAGCTGTACCGGGGCCACAAGGCAGCCCCGTCTCACACCTGACTGCCTGGTCCTCACCGCATCACTGACTGCCTTAACCCTCCCCCTGCCCCCTTTCCGGTCATGTTTACTCTTATGGCAACTAAAGGCACTTTAAAGAGATACCCCGAGTCACACAGCAAATGAAAGGAAGAGGCTGGTCTTGAACCCAGGAACCAGTGATGTTGGAGGATGGCGGCGATAATTCCTGCCCTCGCTGCCTCCTCTTTCACCGTCTGCTTTGGTCAGGATGAGAGAGAGAGAAAGAGAGAGAGAGCACGCGTGAGAGCGCAAGCGCGTGCGCGCAGAAAGGGAGCAAGAACAGGAAAGTCAAGGGCTGGGACTAGACTACAGGGCAGTTTCGGTCCAGTTGCCCCTTATCCACTTGGCCACAGGCTGTCCCAATATTTTCTCATTCAGTCAGCCCATAAATCTCTATTAAAGATCCAATGAGCCCTAACCGGTTTGGCTCAGTGGATAGAACATCGGCCGGCAGACTCAAGAGTCCCAGGTTCGATTCCCGGCATGTACCTTGGTTATGGGTACATCCCCAGTAGGGAGTGTGCAGGAGGCAGCTGATCAATATTTCTCTCTCATCGATGTTTTTTTTTTTAAATATATTTTATTGATTTTTCACAGAGAGAAAGGGAGAGAGAGAGCTAGAAACATTGATGAGATAGAAACATCGACCAGCTGCCTCTTGCACACCCCCTACTGGGGATGTGCCCGCAACCCAGGTACGTGCCCTTGACCGGAATCGAACCTGGGACCTTTCAGCCCGCAGACCGATGCTCTACCACTGAGCCAAACTGGTTTCGGCTCTCATCGATGTTTCTAATTCTCAATCCCTCACCCTTCATCTCTGTAAAAACATCAAAATACATATGTATTAAAAAAAATCCAATGAGTACCATGTCCAAACTAGTGCACGCACTAACATACAGCAGAGAACAAAACGGAAGTGGCCCTTCCTCATGAGGTCGGCACAACCTGGCCTTGGCCTTGGCCTTGGCCAGCCTGGCCAGCCTGGCCGAGCAGGGGAACCCACAGCCCAAGTCAGGGAGACAGCATGCTTCTTTGCCAGAATCTGAAATCAGATGGAGAGAAAGGGGGAGGGGATAATGATCGCACTGGAGCAGGCCACGCCTGCGCCTGGGGCCTGTGAACTTGTGAGCTTCCGAGGCGTAAGGGACACGCAGGTGTGATCCCTGGGGACCGTGAGAGGGAGGGACTGCTCCTAAGGAGGCGGGGCCTTAGGGACTGTGTGGGGTTAGGGTGAGGAGGATGAAAGGTGCAGTCCTAAGGGGGTGGGGCCTCCCCAGGAGAGACTTGATTTGAAACACAAAACTATATCCTCAAATAAAACGGAACTGTCCTTTGTGCCTAAAACTTGTATTCTCAAGTGCACTCTGCTCACCAGGGCTCCTTTCTTTCTTTCTTTCTTTTTTTAAAAAAAAAAATATTTTATTGATTTTTTACAGAGAGGAAGAGAGAGGGATAGAGAGTTAGAAACATCGATGAGAGAGAATCATCATCAATCAGCTGACTCTTGCACACCCCCTACTGGGGATGTGCCCGCAACCAAGGTACAGGCCCCTGACTGGAATCGAACCCGGGACCTTTCAGCCCGCAGGCCAATGCTCTATCCACTGAGCCAAACCGGTTTCGGCACCAGGGCTCGTTTCTTTGCCGGATTGTTGTTCCTAATTCTCATTGTCCCACCCCACTCTCGCCAAAATCCTAGCATCCAGAAGCCAGCACAGACAAACAGCATCTGCAGATTAGGCAGAGCTTAGCAGGGCTTTGGAGGTCAAAGTTCTGTCTTCCTGGTTCTGTCTCCAGCCCTGCCTCGCTCGTTCCCTCTGAGCCCAAGTCCTTCTTCTACAAATCAATCAATCTATCTATCTATCTATCTATCTATCTATCTATCTATCAAAGCCTAACTGACCGTTAGCTATGATGTGCGCTGACCAGGGGCCAGACGCCCAGACCGGTAGGTGAGCTTGCTGCTGGGGACTAGCTGATTGGTACTGGGCCGGACATGCCCTGGAGCCCTCCCGTGGTCCCTCCCCTGCTGGCCAACCTCTTGCATCCCTCCCTGGCCCTGTGCGTGCACCAGAGAGGTCCCTCGGCCTGGCCTGCACCCTCTTATAATCCGGGACCCCTCAGCGGATGGAGAGCCAGTTTCAGCCTGATCCCACAGGCGCAGGAATCCGTGCCCTGGGCCTCGGGGAAGGATATAATAAAGCAGCAGTTGCCTTGTGGGTTGTTTCGGGGTTGAGAGAAGACCACACGCCTGAAGGTCTTCACTCAGGGCGTCAGAGGCGTCAGAATGATCAGAAGCAGAGAGACCCCAAAACGTGTTTCTTCAAAGTGAGAGAGAATGCTTCACCCCACGTTTCAGCAGTCACCCCATTCTGGAAACTAGTCGGCGGGAGAGCCCTTAGCGGGTCTCAACTTGCAAAAGGGGAAACGGGGTCCAGGGGCTGGGGGACGCTTCAGGGCTGAGAGGTCCCAGGAGGCAGTGTTTCCCAGAAAACACGGCACAGAGGCCCTACGTGGGAGGGAGGAGGGAGGGGGTGGCGGGAGAGGCCAGCCTCTGCCTCCACACCACAGCTGGGTTCAGCTTCCGCACGAGCAGAGCTGACCAGTCTGTCCTCTGCTTCCGGCCCTCCCGAGGCGCCCCGTGGCCTCCGGAGAGAGCCTGCACCCCTCAGCCTGGCACCCAAGGCCCCTGTGACAGCACCCCTCCTCCACACACACACACACACACACACACACACACTGAACACACACATTGATCTGAGATCACATGCTCCCTCACGTCCAGGCTTCAGCACGGGCCATGCCCCAGGCTGGGCTGCCCTCACCCTCCACCGCCCCACCCCTCGCACTCACCACCTCCTCCTCCATCTCCTGCTCGCCCTCCACGCCACCGCCCTTGATGAAGAGCGTCTTCTGCTTCTCGGCCATCTCGTAGGTGGGCTGCATCTCGGGGTCGTCCCGCAGCGAGTCCAGCTTGGGGTGGAACCACTCCAGCTGTGTGGTGCGGTTCAGCGACTCCAGGATGGACAAGGGGTCCTCCGGGCGCTGGTTCAGGATCTTGGTCAGCATGTTCACCAGGTGCTCGTACCTGCCCCCGGAGGGAGGGGAGGTGGGGGGGGGGGGTTACTCACTCGCGCCCGGCCCCGTGCCCGCCCGGCCCCGTGCCCGCCCGGCCCTGTGCCTGGCGCCGGGGACACGGCGAAGGAGACGGGAGTGGAGCTGACATTCTGGTGATGGAGACAGACGGTCACCAAACAGGCAAAGCTCACACTGTCAGGGGTGGTTGTGTCTGAGGAGACAGGGAAGCAGGGGATGGGGCTGGGGACGCCAGGGGTGGGGGATGGTTTGCAGTGAGAGAAAGGAAAAGAATCCCATGCTGATCTCACTGAGAAAAGAGATGCTGGAGCCAAAACTGGTTTGGCTCAGTGGATGGAGCGTTGGCCTGTGCACTGAAAGGTCCCAGGTTCGATTCCAGTCAAGGGCATGTACCTTGGTTGTGGGCACATCCCCAGTGGTGGTGGTGGGGTGTGCAGGAGGCAGCTGATCGATGATTCTCTCTCATCGATGTTTCTAACACTCTATCCCTCTCTCTTCCTCCCTGTAAAAAGTCAATAAAAAATATATATATATTTTTAAAAAGAGAGAGATGCTGGAATCTTAAACAAAATGGCGCCTAGCAGTTGCTCAGAAGGATGACACGCATGATTCAAGTGGATGAACTGACAGGGATGTACGACTGGACTGAAGTGAGAAAGACTATAACTCGTCATGACCGTGTGTTAAAGGGGGTCTGTAAGGTCCCCTCAACAGGTGCGGAGAAATTGTTTGATAAAATTCAATACCCATTCATGGTTTTTTAAAAAACTAGGAAACCCAAGAATAGAAGGCAAAATTCAAATAATCCGATAAAGGAGAGCGACAAGTAACCGATGGCACACTCCAAACATAAAGACAAAAGGCCAGAGCGTGCCCTAGCTGGTCTGGCTCAGTGGATAGAGCATCGGCCTGCAGACTGAAGGGTCCCACGTTTGATTCTGGCCAAGGGCACATGCCTGGGTTGTGGGCTCGATCCCTCAGTGTGGGGCGTGAGGAGGCAGCTGATTGATGGTTCTCTCTCATCATGTGATGTTTCTATGTCTCTAAGATCAATAATAAGTAAATCAATCAATTAATTAAAAAAAAAAGACTATAGTACTATCCCCAGTATGAGGTGGGCAGGAGGCAGCTGATCGATGCTCCTCATCGATGTTTCTCACTCTCTCTCCTCTCCCTTCCTTCCTGTAAGAAATATCAACAAAGCCCTGACTTGTTGGCTCAGTGGCTAGAGCGTCGGACTGCGGACTTAAAGGTCCCGGGTTTGATTCCGGTCAAGGGCATGGACCTTGATTGCGGGCACATCCCCAGTAGGGGGTGTGCCGGAGGCAGCTTATCGATGTTTCTCTCTCATCGATGTTTCTAGCTCTCTATCCCTCTCCCTTCCTGTCTGTAAAAAATCAATAAGATTTAGAAGAAAAATATTAACAAAAAATTTATCTATATAAAAGACTATAGTGCTTTCCACTCTGTGACTGGGGATGCCCACTTTCGCTTGTTGAATGCTGCACCGGAGGCTCCCGCCGGTGTGCTCGCACGTGAAGAAGAGCATCGCAGAGGAAGCAGCAGGACTGTTGCGTTCACAGAGGACGTGCAGGGTGATGAGCTGAGGGTGTGGGGCGTGTGGGAGGAGCAGAGGTGGCCAGTGTGGCTGGAGGGATGAGGGAGGGGGAAGGCTTGTGGGAGGAGGGGAGGCCGGCACGGTAACCGGGTGGCAATGGTGTCCGTTCCCCGTCCATCAGGCAGTGTGTTGGGCGTTCGAGAGCAGGGCTGTATTCTCCCCACCATGATCCGAGGAACAGCTATGACCCGCGGCGCTCCGGGTAAGGAAACTAAGGCTGGGGGAGCGTGAGGCCGTGAGGTCTAAGGGTATGTGGTCGCACGGCCAGGATCTAAAGCCAGGACCAAACTGGTTTGCCTTCAACGCATCCAAACGCCCGTGGGGTGGGAACCCGTTGGCACGTCCTGGGTGCGGTGGGGCTGTCCGTTGGGAAGGGTAAGGCGAGGCCAGCCTCCGGCCGGGGGCTGGTCAGTGAGGGAGTGTGAAGTGCTAGCCGGCAGGGGACGCCGGCGGAGGAAGTGCGACGGGTTGGTTTTGACCAGACTCCAGGAGGTGAAGTTTGGAGAGCAGGCGGGGCTGAGCTCTGTGAGTCTGTGAGGAACATGGACCTCCTTTGGGGGACCCTGGCTCTGAGCTCCGGAGGGAGGGGGGCCCGCTTGGTGCTGTAGCGAGACCTGTCCCTTCTGCAGCTCCATCTCCGCCCACTGCCCCTCCTCCCCCTCCATCTCATCACACCGGCTCCACTGCCGTTCCTCAGACACCGCAAGCCTCAAGGCCGTGGGGCTCGCTGTGTCCCAAACGCTTGGCTATTGGCAAGGTGTCCCCCTCACCATCCTCCCGTCATGGGTCAGACGCACGCGGCAAGGAACGGGGCCTCGGGAGCCCAATCCCCTGTGCGGGACTCCTGGCTCTGGACAGGGGCCCTCACTTCTGTGTGTCTCCTCCTCCGTGAAGACGGGCCGTGGAGGTGCCAATGTCAGTGTGAGAACTAGGGGTGCCTGTGTGCAGGGCCGACTGGCACCAGGTCTGCTAACGATTGTCCTTCTTAGCTACTGTCAGTGTTTGGTCTGAGTGAGACGGCTCCAGAGCCACCCCCTGGCTGAGGAGACCCCAGAGCTGAGGGGTAGATGGGGGTCTTGGCGGGGCCTCTCCCCACCGTTCCCGGCTCACAGGCTGAGGTCGCAGCTGATGCTGGTCTGCAGCAGGTAGGCCTTGGCGTTCTGCACGGCCAGCTCCCGGGGCTCCGGCTCCGACACCTCCATGTCGTAGGACATGAAGCCCAGCTCGGAGGGCGAGAACTGGAGGGAAGGGTCGTCCCTCATGTAGGGCCCGTGCTGCGCCCCGCCGTACGGCTGGAACGGCTGCTCCTCCCGCTGGTAGGCGTGGTACTGGGCCAGGGGGTCGGGCTGCCCGTCCTGGAAGGCGGACTCCAGCTGCTGGAAGAGGCTGCCCTGGCCCTGCTGCAGCTGCTCCAGCATCAGGTTCTCGTCCAGGTACGGCTGGTACGCGAGGCCGCCCGGCGGCTCCTCGTACTGGCCCAGCCCGGCGCCCTGCGGCCAGCCCTGGGCCGCCAGCATCTCCTGGCTCCTCGGGGTCTCCGGCTCCGCCTGCAGCGGCGCCTCCGGGGGCGTCGTGAAGGGCTCCGGGGGGCTGCCCTGCTGCGGAGGCTGCTCGGGGTCGGACGGCGGGTCGGCCATCGTGCCCGGACGGAGGCCTGCAGGCCGGCCGGCCGGTTGCCCGCCGTGCACTGGCCGGGTAGCCGCCGGTTTCCGGGGGGGAGGGGGGGCCGGGCCGTTACCGGGGGCGGCGCGGGCCGGGGGGGGGGGGGCCCTCCGCGCAGGCGCAGCCCGGGGGGGGGGGACCCCTCCGCCCGCGCACCCCACCCCGCCGCGGGCCTCACGGCGGAGGTGCCAGATGAGAGGCCGCACCGCGCCCCAGAACCGGGATGTGTTTTTTTTTTATTATTTTTTTTTGAAAGGCAAAGCACCCCCCGTCCTCCCCCTCGGCCCCCTCCCCACCAGGCCCGTCAGCTGTTGCCCTTGGTCTCGGGGTCCCCGGCCTCCTCGGCGGCCGCGCAGGGCGGGCTGGGGGTCTTGGGCCGGTCCTCTCCGGCGGGGGTGCGGCTCTGGGGGCTCCTCTCCTCCTTCGCGGCGGCGCCCGGGGCCGCCTCCTGGGGACAGAGGGGGTTTTCTGTGGGGGCGCCGCCCGCCCCCCGCTTTGGGCCTGGGACACCTGCGCCCGGGCCCCCCGCTCCTTCCTCTGCCGCCCCGGCGCCCGCCCTACCTTGGCCAGCGGCCCCTCGAGGCTCGAGTCCAGCAGGGCGGCCTCCGGCAGCCCCGCGTCGTCGTCCACGCTGATGAAGATGGCCGGGGTCTCCCCCTCGGGCCCCTCCTCCCGGAAATCCACCGCTTCGTCCGGCTGCGGGGGGCCCGGCCTGGCCGAGGCCGCGGCCGCGGCGGAAGCGGGGGCTCCCACGCCCCCGGGCTTCAGCTTCTGCTCCTCCTCCAGCTGCCGCTTCAAGGCCTTCTCCTGGGCCAGCCGCAGGCCCATGAGGTCCTGGGGGGGCCTGGGGGCGGGGGCGGGGGCCGGGGCCAGCGGCTCCAGGTCATCCTGGGGGCGGGAGGGGCACACAGCGGCTCAGGGGAGGGGGCTGGGCTGGGGCAGGCAGCAGGGGGGCCTGGAGTAAGGGCAACTGCCCGCCCACCCCCCTTCCAGCAGGAGCCCCAGAAAGACGCGGTGCCGCCGGGGGCCCCTCACCTCCTCCAGAGGCCCCGCGGGGGCTTCCTTGGCCTCCGGCTCCTGCTTGCCGCTGGCCTCCAGGATGGCCATGATGGAGTTGGGGATGTGGGCTTGCTAGGGGAGAGCAGGATGGGGTGCTGCAGAGAGCTCTCACCCAGAGGCCCCCCGGGGCACCCCAGCCCCCAGGCTGGTCCCTGACCCTCCAGAACCCTTGCCGTTCTGTGGCGCTGCAGGGCTCCCTCTGCCCACTCCCCTCCACCCCCCTGGGCCTGGGGTGCCACCCCCCTCCTGGGGTACCTGATGGGGGGGTACCTGATGGGGAGTACCTCATGGAGGGGGTACCTGATGGGGGAGGGTACCTGATGGGGGGGTACCTGATGGGGAGTACCTCATGGAGGGGGTACCTGATGGGGGAGGGTACCTGATGGGGGAGTACCTGATGAGGGGGTACCTGGTGGGGGGGGTACCTGATGGGGGGGTACCTGTGCGGGGGGGGTACCTGATGGGGGGGTACCTGATGGGGGAGTACCTGATGGGGGGGGGTACCTGATGGGGGGGTACCTGGCGGGGGGTACCTGATGGGGAGTACCTCATGGAGGGGGTACCTGATGGGGGGTATCTGGTGGGGGGTACCTGGCGGGGGGGGTACCTGGCAGGGGGTACCTGGTGGAGGGGTACCTGGTGGGGGGGTACCTGATGGGGGGTACCTGGCGGGGGGGTACCTGATGGGGGGGTACCTGATGGGGGAGGGTACCTGATGGGGGGGGTACCTGATGGGGGTACCTGATGGGGGGGTACCTGATGGGGGGTACCTGATGGGGGGTACCTGGCGGGGGGGGGTACCTGATGGGGGTGGTACCTGGCGGGGGGTACCTGGCGGGGGGGTACCTGATGGGGGAGGGTACCTGATGGGGGTACCTGGCGGGGGGTACCTGGCGGGGGGGTACCTGGCGGGGGGTACCTGGCGGGGGGGTACCTGATGGGGGAGGGTACCTGATGGGGGTACCTGGCGGGGGGTACCTGGCGGGGGGGTACCTGGCGGGGGGTACCTGGCGGGGGGGTACCTGATGGGGGGGTACCTGGCGGGGGGTACCTGATGGGGGGTGAAGGAGCGGACGTGGGCCAGCAGGGGCTCCCGGAGCTCCGGGCACTTGTCAAACACGGCGCCCAGCTGCTGGGGTGGCAGCTGCAGGATGACCTGGAAGCTCTGGGGCTTGGTGCGCTGGCAGCACTTGATGAAGCCCTCCCACACCTTGGGGTACTTCCACACCTGGACGGGCGGGGAGGAAGGGGGTGTAAGGGGGCATGCCAGTGGCCACCCTTGGAACTGGGAGGACCGGGCCAACATGGGGCCTTGCTGGGGCTCATCTAACAGATTTCCTTTGGCTACACACAGCCCCGACCTCCTCAGAGGGTCAAACTTCCTCCCCCAGCTCCCCAGCAGGGGGGCAGGGCGACTACGTGGGAAGGAGAAACAGTGGCCCCTGCACCGGGTCTCCCTGGGCCAGGCCCAGGCTGTGCTGTGAGCATCGTCTCATTTCATTCCCACTGCAGCCTCCAGGGGGCGCCATTCGCCCTGCGAAACAGGAGGCCCGAGAGATGCAGGGACTTGTCCCAGGTTCCGCTGGTGACTAGGGCAGAACCAGCACTTGACCCCGGTCTGTGTGGACCTGCATTTAACCTCTAAGCCGGTTGTGGCAGCGTGGCCGCCTGCAGGCCGGATCCCGTCTGAGGGCTTGTGGATTCATCGCGGTGTTTCTGAAAACCCAGACTTGTGGCTTCTCCTGAATGCATCAGCGCTGGGATGCATCCTGCCTGGGTGCACCATGATGGGGGCAAGGGGCAGCCACGCCTCTCCTGGGATGTGCACCCTGAAGCCTCTGCCTGCTTCTAGCACCCGCCCCCCTCAGATCGCTACCCCGTGGCTGCAGGAGGACCCCTGGGTGCCCAGGGCAGGCCGGAAAGGCCTGCGGTCGGCCTCAGCCAGCGTTAGCTCCTGCTGCAGCCAGCCCGCTGCCAGGGCCTGCATGTCCAGGGCGGTTGGTTACCTGCTTCATGATGAGGCGGGACAGGATGTTCATGACGAAGCCCCCCAGGCGGGGGTACATGGTCAGGGACTGGATGACGGTCCTCATGAGCAGCATGGGCAGGGGGCTCTGCTCCATCAGCTGCTGCATCACCACGGCCAGCACCTCCGACGTGTACACGTTCCGCTCCGCAAAGCACAGGTTGGTGGCTGGAGGAGGCGGAGAGCGGGCCTGTCCTCTCTGCCCAGCTGCCCCGGGGGCGGGCGCACCCCCCCCCTCAGCTGCAGCCCCGTTTCCGCCCGTGTGCACACCCGAAACGGGAGGCTCCCCACCCAGCAGGGGGTCGCTTTCTCAGGGGACCGGTGGCTCGGCCCGAGGGGAAAGACGTGGCCAGCTCCTGCGAGCCCCACATGGGACCCCACGGGGGGACCAGGGCCCTTCTCTGAGGAGACCCTTGGAGAGCCAAGGCAGGAAAGGCATGTTGTCAACCGCTGGGAACCCGTTCTGGCTTGATTTAGGCGGCACGGCACCTCCCCCACACTATGCAGCAAGGCCGCTCCGAGTCCCATAAGCACCCCGTAGTGGCCAGGAGATGGCCCTCCACCAGCAAGGGACCCCCCAAACCCACCCATCAGGGCACAGGGCATAGGCTGCTTCTGGGGCGCCAAGCCCGACTGTGGGAACACAACCACAGAGCAATGAGGGGTGAGAGAAGGAGGAGCCTGGGCCGGCAATCGGAGGGCCCCCGGAGGGCCGGGCCAACGCAAGCACCCACGAAGGCCGTGGGGCCGCTCCCTCGGGAGCGACATCGGTGGGATGGGTGGTGCTCCGGTCTGTTGTGCTAACGGGGAGGCCCCAGCCTGAACCCCCTCTTCCCCAAACACCACTGGCCATGTGAGTGTCAACCAGGAAGTCTTTATTGAGCTACGAGAAAGGCGCCAATACTTGAGGGGCTAGCGGAGAGCGGGCGGGCGCTGTGAGGACGGGCAGCTCCCGGGAGGAAAGGGGGAAGATGAAGAATGACAGGCGGGCAGGCGGGAGGAGGCGGGGCAGGGCGGGCATCTGGGCCGAAGGGCAGAGGACAGTGAGTGAGGAAAGTGCCAGAGAAGACCTGCCGGGCACGGGCACGAGGGGGCTGCTCCCCTCACTTCCTGGCCGTCCCAGGTCCCTTCTACCATGTCACAAAGCCCTTCCCTCTCCGCCCCTCAGCTCTGCCCAGCTCCTCCGGAGCTTCCCACTCAGCCCTCCGACCCCTCCCTCCACACGCAGGCTGAAGGGTCTTTTGCAATTCAACCTGACCTCGCACCTCCCAGAGGCCCTGGCGATCCAGTCCTGTGGGGGTTTCCTCAAGGGTCACAGGCCCTGCAAGTGCGTCTCTTGGCCTCTCATTTCTCCTCCTTTTTCCGGGAAGGTCACCCCTTCTGCCCCTGCTTATCCTCCGGGGGCCTCAGCTCAGGAGTCCTCCTCCGGGGGCCCTCCCTGACTCCCCTCTCCAGAAGCTGGCAGCCCGTCTGGGCGCCCTATCCCAGCCGGGCTCTCCGAGCTGTTCCTGGGACCCTGCAAGGGCAGGGCCAGAGCCATCTCTATCCCCGCGGGGTCCTAGCACAGCCCGGCGCAGCGCTGGCTGAACGGAAGTGCCCAGTGAGTGAGTCACGGGACCAGACGTGAGGGCAGGTCTTGCCATAGAGAAACTCACGAGAGAAAGGGGGCATTGCTAATACCATCAGCGATTGGGGGCTCCGATGGTGCACAAAACAGGACTGACTTGGGATCTGGAGCGTCCAGTCAGTGGAGGTACTAGTGCCCGAGCAGAGAGACGTGCTGGGACCTTCAGCTGGCCGGAGCGCGGAGGCCGTGGCCGGGGCTGGCAGGAGGCAGCAGGTGGGGGCGTTTCTGCAGGCCGGGCCTCGCTGACATCTCCAGGGGCTTGGTGCCCACGTGGGAAA